CAGTATCATATTTTTTTAATAAAAATAGTTGCCTTATTTGTATAATTGAATACTATCACCTTTGTTTTAATAATAATAGAATCGATTGTTCTTGCAATTTGTTATTGCTTTTTTTTCTTTGCCTTTTGCTCTTTGCCTTTTGTTATATTTTATTTGTAAGAAGAATGTCATATAAAGAACGCAAAAATAATTGTGAAGCTCAAAGTATTTCGCTACTCTGATAAGTCATGTGATAAATGTTTATATTCAGTTTATTTTTATTATCGTTTATATTCTTAAGCTACCTTTGTATAATACTTCTACAAGATAATTATATTGCAATGACACATTACTTACAAGTTTCTATCTAGTCTTATAAATCAGTTTTACTGCAAGATAACCATTTATAAGATCCTTTACAAGTTGACCTTTCACAAGTTGACTCTTCACAAACTGACCTTTCACAAAATGATTTTTCGCAAGATAATATGTTAAAACCTTTGGAATCTGGATTAACTTTTTCTAGTTGGGAAAAGTGTAAGGTTTGGATAAGTGATTTTGCATTAAAGGAAGGTTTTGATTTTAAAATCAGAACAAGCAAAAAAGATCAAAGTGGAATAATACGAAGGGCCACATATGAATGTGCTAAGTCTGACACCCATTATCTACAAGTTAGTTCTGATCTAACTAAACATCATAATGATCATTCTTTATGAATCTCCTGTCCTTAGAAACTTAATGTCACCTATCCAAAAACAAGTAGTATTATAAAAGTTAATTCTTTTAACAATAATCACAATCACCCACTTATACCAACCATTTGAGAAATAGCAACTCGTTTTCATAGGTTATCTTTTAAAATGTTAGTAGATATAGAGAAATATGTCATCAAGTGATGAATGGATTTAGGATCAATATACACTTTACTTAAACACGATTTTTCAGACCATTCTATTCACAAAAAGGACCTGTATAATGCAGTATATCAATTTTGTTAAAAGTACAACCTGGGGGATGCTGATAAATCTAAAATGATTCAACAACTATTAGAGTGGAAGAATTCTGATCCACTTTAAGTAGTGAAGCTTCGATTGGATTCTTTCTCAAGAAAATTAGTATCTGTATTATGGATATTTCTCACACAGAGAGATCTGTACACTAAGTATAATAACATTATGATTTTTGATATAACATATAATACTAATTGTTTTTAGATGATGCTTTGTATCATAGCTATAATAGATAACAATTTTAGAACAAGAATTGTTGAATACACAGTTATTGAGAATGAAACTCTTGATACATACCAGTGGATTCTTAACAATATTCTTACTGAAATGAGTATTTCACCTGAAGTTATCTATACTGATTCTGACCTATCAATAATCCGATCAATTAATAATATTTTTTCTAATGCTAGTCATTTATTATGCATATTCTATGTATATTGACCTAAACATTAGAAAAAAGTTGAAGGGGAAACTAGGCAGCTAGTTTGAAGAATTTCATTGTAAGTTTTATATCTGTCGAAATTCACTTTGTGAAGAGTTATTTGAATGCCAATGGAATCGGCTAATAGGACAATATATAGCTATGGAAAAATATTTGTCAGAGACTTTTTATTCTAATAAAGAAGCATGGACTATGTCATAGATATATAAACAATTTACTGCTAGAGCCCAAAGTACACAAAGAATAGAGTCGATCAAAAAGCATATATATGATAAAGTTGATCGAGCCACTTCACTATGCAATTTGTTATTTGGTATAATGATTATGTAAAAAATGAAGAGTACTTTGAAAAATGAAGAGTACTTTGAAAAATTCAAAGTTGAACGAAATGCCTTACCTACAATTGGCATGTCGATGCTGAATACAAGATTTTTTTGGCAAAATTGATGCTATTATCAAGGAATTTATAACTCCTATAATGCTTGAAAAACAATGATCACAAATAAATCAGTCAGTATATTATGATGTCAATCAGATCACAGAATGGCACAGTTGATAGAAATAAGTAAATTTATCACATAATCTTATATTCTTTAGACAGAAACTGATAATGAAGAAGTTAATATAATCAGGGAACAGAAACAGGATACACAGCAGGTTTTTTTTATTCATTAGTTAGAATATTATTATTAGAATTAATAATGGAAGTATGGAATGTTAGAGCAACTGGCATTTAAGGAACAGGTCATTATGTGGTTTTGCTTGATAAAAGAACGCATTTGTGTACTTGTCTTCTCTTAATTAATAAAGGATTAATATGTCAGTACTTTTTTCATGTTGGTACTTATTCTCAGCATGCAAGATTTCACGTAAGTATGATTCTGAACTGATGGTACCTACACTCCCCTGAAGAAAATATTCAGGCACTCAAAAAAAAATTTATTTTTATTAAAATATTTTCATATTTAATAACTTGTAGGCCACCCATTCCTACTAATACACTCTTCTTATTTTATTTGGCATACTTTTTATTAATTTTTTATAAAATGTACTAGGAATTTTCACCAATTCTTTTTGTAAAGCAATTTTCAATTCTAATGCATTTTTAGGATAATGTGATCGTTTTCTAACTTGTCTATCAAGCTTGTCTCATAAGTGTTCGATTGGGTTCAAATCTGAAGATTGGAATGACCAATTGGATAATATTTTAAGTCTTTTTTTATGAACCCATGCTTTTACGTCCTTAGCTTTATGGATGGGAGCATTGTCATCTTAAAAAAGATAATTTTCACCACGAAAATTTGATTTTATCCAAGATAACAAATTTTTTTCTAATATTTCAATATATCTAAATCTATTTAATATTCCTTCAACTTTAACTAACAGCCCTAAACCTTTATTTGAAAAGCAATCCCACATCATTACTCCACCACCTCCATGTTTTACTGTAGGTAACAAATTCTCAATATTAAAACATTCGCCAGAAGTACGCTAAACACAACAAGAACTATCACTTTTAAAGATTTCAAAATGAGACTCATCACTCCAAATTATTTCTTTCCATTTAGAATACCCTAATGTCTTCTTTTCAAGCACCAATTTAATCGGTTAATACGTTGTGCCTCAGTTATAAAAGGTTTTTTTACTGCAATACAAGAAGAAAGCCCAATTTGATGTAATTCTTTAACTAACGTTCTAGTTGATATTTGAATATTAGTAATTTCTTCAAATTTTTTTTGAAGTCATCTAGCACTGTTACGATTGTTTTCTTTAGTTATTGCTTTTAAAATATATTTATTTTCATTGTTTATTTTTCATGGCCGTCCTGGACGAGATGCACTTTTTGTAATTCCTTTATTATTGTAACGAAGAATAGTATTAGCAACTGTTAGTCTAGGAATATTAGTAATACTACTAATATTTCTTTGAGTGTGACCGCCTTTATGAAGACCAATAATTTGACCACGTTCAGATTCGGTTAATTTTTTGCTTTTTGCCATGTTAAAAAATTTTTAATTTAATTATAATAAGAATAGTAAAAATGATCGGCAAAGCAATATTGTTAAAGAATCAAATTCATTTTTTTTATGAACGCGTTATATAAATTAATTCAAAACAATAATAAAATGTAGCCAATAGATTTACAGGAATATGCACTTTATAATTATATAAAAATTTATTTAAAAACATAATATAATTAAGCTACAATTCGCAAAAAGCCGTGCCCAGATACTTTCTTCAGGGGAGTGTAGATACTAATATTTAAGTCAACGATCTCTTGCAACGTTATCCTTCTGTCCTAGTATGTAGCACAACACAAGTGGAAGATAGTTCAGAAATGAAACAAAGCATCAATTTTTAACATTTCTTCTCACTTCGTGTTGATTCACCTAATTCTCAATCAGCTGCAAAATCAAGTAAAGCTATATATGCAGAGTTATTTGGGTTATCAAGGAACGCTATTGATTGTTCGCTTAAGGCTATAAGCAACATGAGTTAACAAGACTATTAAAGACCTTCATTTATAATGCGCAAAGTGAAAACGTTCAAGAGTATGACATTAATAACCCAACTGTTGTAAGGCATAAAGGACGACCTCCAAAACGGCTTAAATCAAGTGTAGAAACAGCTTCAAGTCAAGGAAGAAGGGTGTTAAAAGATAGTGTGCGGGTTAATATAATGGATGACAATATTGCTATGGAAGAAGATGGCATAAAGGGTAGAAAATGTTTGAAGTGTAAACAGCATAGGCATTATGCAAAGACATATCAAAACATTTAGTACTTCATAGTGTTATATAGTGTATGTATATGATCTATTATATTGTATATATGCGTTCCACATTTAAATAAAGTATACAAAGTGTTGCGAATTTTTTATTTCGTGTGCTCGATTTTTATCACGGTCATATGATATTATAAATCACGTTTACAAAGTGAAATAGAGTATCTCATTAATCTAAGCTATCTACACTAACACAATATTCTAATCCAATTTCATTTGTCCCAATGTCGATATTTCGGATAAAATAAAATGGTCGTCAGTAGAAGAATCAGAAATAAATTAACAATATTGGCCTTAGTAAAACTCACCGAAAATTTATGTTTTCCGATAATAAGATCCTGAGCAAAAAAATAGATATTAGCTTTGCAAGCTCTGAATCGCTTTCCTGCAAATGCAAAAACATAACCGAAAAAAATATGCCTTAAATGCAAAGTGTCTCATCCGGACTTCAATAATAACACTTCTTTCAAACTAATCAGTTTCTTTTTAACGGGTTCTTAACGTTTATACTCAAAGAAAAAAAGTTAAAAGTTGTGTGTCCGAGAGTGTTGTAAGCCACTGCAGATTAGTCAAATACGGTCAATCGCATGACCACTCGTATAACCTAAGTAATAATAAATACCTGAGAATCAGAGAATCGGAGAATCGCTCTCTAATCATTCTAATAAATCATTAATCTTTTTCATGATGTATTCAGAAAAGTATATACAGTATATATATATTCTCAAACTTACTATTGCTTATTCTATCACTTTTATAATTTTTTTTACAGCGATATCATCGAAATGGATATTTCATTTAATTGTTACATCTTAACACCCTCAAGCGACGATGATTCTGAAACTTTTCCGGTTGATATTTACAGAGACAATAAGAATAAAAGATATTTCCAAAGTAATAAAGCAAAGATCACCTTAGCCAATTTCAAAGTTTCACATCTCAAGGAACACATATGTAATATATATGATATTAAAAAAGTTGACCAACGTAAAGTGAAATTCTGGAGAGTTAATGTCAAAGCAGAAAGGATTGAAAATAACAATATTTCTACCAAAGATGAAATTGTACATAAACTTGAAGGACAAAAAATGAGAGATAATGACTTGTTTAATGAGTATTTTAAAGTTGAATTAGCAAATCAGATTGTAATGGAAAACATACATATTATTACTATCATCCCCACCATTGTAATCCCCGCCACTGGTAAGTGTCTCCTAACATTTTACCTCTCGAACAAGAAATTTGCAGTAACAAAATATCGAGTTTGGTCTGATCTTTTTTTTTGCGTTAAAAGTAAGTCCTTCTCAGCAAGGAATTTCACAAGGCACATTATCTTTTTTCCGTAATTAGCTAAAAGATTTCCTGATAATAGTATTCATTTTATTACTATTTGTAACTTTTCAGTGACTACAGTCAAACCTTGATATAGCGAACCCTTGATATAGCGAATTTTTAAATCAAATATATTAAAATTACCTTACTATAGTGAACTAGCCAATTAAATTCTTTAAAAAATTTGTTATAAACTTATAACGAAGTTGATATCCAGATCCTAGAATTCATTATATTAAGAGTTTACTGTACACCCGAACCTAAGGCTATTTTCGAAGAATTCCTTAGTAGCAAACACAGTGTATTCCTCAAAACTTATTTAGAAAGAAATGATTGATTACCATCATACGAATCACGAATACAACTTAAAACAACTGTACCCACTTCCTTTACAGGTAAACGTCCTTCACTCTTAAAGTACAATCTCCCTGGAGGTAATGAAAAACATGAAACGATTACCTGGGTTTCAGATGTTTAGTCTGCGATTGCAGAAGCAAAGAACAATTTATTGATTTTTTTAGGAATGTCTGGATGTGGAAAAATGAGGACTTGTTATGAATTACTTTGTGAAAACTGGGGGCTTTATTTTGTTACGTCTAGAAAAGGAAATGGAGGTTCAGCTGACATCGATAAAATCCAAAGTTATCTTGATGCGAATATGACAGAAGATTTTGACAAAAACCGCAAATATGCATTAGAAATTATGCGTTGCACAATTCTCTCCCGACTCTTTATACTACGCCATTGTTTAAAAAATGCATCTGCATTCAATAAACAGCGTTGGCTTCTAATACAAATTTGTCAAGATACGTTTGGAAAGCTTTATGATTATAATGATAATATGTTTGTTGCCCTTATGTTTCAACTCAATACTTGCACATCATCGTCTGTAATGACTTACATTGATAACATATATCAAGAAATTTCAGATAGCAAAACGTTTGTCATTATTCTTGATGAAACTCAAGTACTCGAAACAGTACTTAAGGGAAAGTTTAAATCACGAATAAGTGAACAGAATCGCTCACTCTTGTCTCCCATAATTTAAGCATTGAGAGAACCAGCACCATCAATGGTCAATCATTGTGTCATTCCGTGTGATACTGGACTCAAAATTTTTTCTCTTGAGGATGTTCTTATTACAGGAATTTCGAAACCAGAAACTGAGATATCTAAATTTACAGAGTTTGAAGGGTGGCAGGATATTGCTCATGTGAAGAACTATGTTAATAATCTTGTGAGTTTGACAGAAAATGAATATAACCACCTTTATAATCACTTTTGTGGCTGATTTCGTCCCATTATTACCTGTGTAAAAGATATTATTATGGGTTCTCCGGCTGAAGATGCTGTTAATGCACATTGGAAGGTCTTAACAAAGGCTTATAACAATGATAAATCACTATATAACCAGCTATGTAGGATCATTGAAATGGAAAGACCTAATCATGTGCTGTCAACTAATATTCCTAATTTGTATAAAAGCGTAACACTTGCCTATTACTATTCTGGAGGGCCATTTTTGTTCACTGATATTAGTCAAATGTCATTAGTTGAAAGTGGTTTCGGGCGTCTCCGGTTTGTAAATCCACCTACTATTTCTCACCTAAAGCAAGAATGTAAAGGTATAGATGAAGATAAGTTGCGAATCTCAAGTGTGAATGTAGATTTATTACATCCTGTATTGGAAGGGAAGAAATCTTTAGTTGCTTATGTTGACGAACCCTTTGCTCTCACTGCTTTCTTCAACTTCTTTAAAGATCACGATAGTCTACCAAAAGAAATTTTAAATATTATGTCCATAGTCAATAATGCGAGTTCATGGGGAACATTATGGCAAATTTATTTAACTGATGAGTTTGAGCGAATGTTTAATGGAAAGCTTAATATTAGAAATATGCTTGTATTTGCTGAAGTTGCTAAGAAATATGACTTGCCTGCATTCTGTATAGGATCACCAAAGATTGCCAAATCCTCTAATGATACCGTCCTACGAGTAGCAAATGCATCTGCAGGTTACACATTGGAGAAATTCTTTAATGAATCGCCTGAGACGTGTCCAACATTTTATTTTCCAGAGGATCGTTATGGTCCTGACCTTATCTTTTTTGTTGAATTTGAGGAAGTTACGGTTCCAGTTTTTGTTCAAATGAAATTACGTTATTCAGTTAAAGAAATGGCGGGAGCACTTAGTACGATCCATCCAGATATGTTTTACAAGGATAAAAACAGAAAGGTTTATAATGAGGAATCAAATAAACACATAATCAATAAGATAATTAAAATATGTGAAGTTAGCTCTATTGGTTTATTGGTCGCCTATCCGGCTGATGTATTCCAAGAATCTTATGTCACAAATAATCATCCATATGATATAAAGAATCTATCAAGCAATTAACAGCTCATTGGGATTATTGATCACACAAATGCATCAACTGTCTTTCAAGGAGATCATCTACAATTTCTGGACGAACTTAAAGGTACTGCAAAAAGAAAGGGAGTAGTAGATGAAGAGGAAAAAGCGGATAAAGTGGCGAAGAATAGTAAATCAAGAAAAAACGCAGGAATTAATTATAGCTCAGCAATTATTATCTTTCATTAGTTTTATTGCATACAAAATTTATAATTTTATTTTTTTCTAAAATAAAAACGAAAATCTTTATTAATTTTTCACTAGTAAATTATTGAGTAGCAAGTGAAATATATGACATGCTTTCAAGTGAACGGATCCTAGGCAAGCCCCTGCGTCACATTATTTATTCTTTGCTCCTATATTTACGGTAAATTTCTACATAACACTACTACTGCGAGATTCTCACACTTCCAAAAGTTAGCTGTATTCATATAAATGTAACCGTTCACGTGAACAATTGTTCATGCCGATCACTTTAGCCAAGAAAAACTTTTTATTATACATGCGAAAAATAAATATCTTAAAATAATTTTGAAATGACTTCAAATAATCTTATTGTTATTAAAAGTTTCAAGTCAAATGATCTTATAATTTACTATTACTGAAATATGATATTCTGCTTAAAAATGAAGTCAATACAATACATTGAATAATAAATAAACTAATTAAATCAAACTTATTTGTAATTTTATAATGCAGATTTTACTTTTAATTACCATTACATCAGAATATTAGATAATAATTTTAAAAGAGATATGAAGTCTGACCTTCACCAAATCTTATGAAAATTAATTTTTTTGAAATATGTTTTTGAGAATGTAATTTTGTTTAACCTATCTTGCTTATCAATTTATAAAGCAGTTAATTGAAGTTTTGATTCTTTAAAATACATTTTGTGTTAGATATGTTTTTAAATCCAATTGATAAAATAATTCGTTTATATGTAGATACATATGTAATTGATATCAAATCTTGTTGAAAATTGGCATTTGTGTTAAAAAATAATTATCACATGAAGAAAATGTTGCTTCAAGTTCTTATCAAAATTTATTTCATCTTTTAATTTAAATAATTTTTAGTTTTTTTTCTTTTCTATTAATTTTTGAGTATGTATTCCACGTGCTTTTTTCCAAATGGCGGGCTTGTTTTGTGATATTCATTTACCCACTAAAAATCTGAAATCTTTAAAGTTTGAGAAATCATGCTTCGTTAGCTTTTAAGTTATATTAAGTTGCATAAACAGATATAAATAACTGAAAGAAAATGAAAATAGAATACTTTTATTAAAGTCACTTAAGAAAAAATATTTTCCTATAGAGATCGAATTTTGATCATCGAACTTCGATAATCGAAAGTTCGCGTTTTTGAGAATGCAATCAAAAAATTGCATTAGATTATATTTGGCTCCCAATTTCTAGTTGCAGTGTTTCTCTATGTATAATAATAACCTTTTAAATAGTGATCGTCAAAATCTTTTCATGCGAATCATTAAAAAAAATTTATTTTAATAAAAGTAATTGATTTTAAAAGCAATTATTTATATTTTTTAAATATATAAACAAAGAATTGATTTTAACCACCACAGGAATGTACGAAATCGGTATCACATCACAGTATTTTGTAACCACACAGAATTTGGTTTTTAATTCATCGCGAAAATTAAAGATTTATGAACCAGGCAAAGATAAATGATTTTGTTTCACAAGGTGGATAGATAGATAATAAGGATCGATTTTGAAAGGAGAATGATGTGATGTTAATATGGAACCTAAAGAGGGGAAAACTACCTATTACTACTAATCACAATGACAATCATTGTCTTTTTAGATTTCATTTTATGGTGCAAAAGGCCCCATATGACCACATCAAAAATAGGGTTTTCATTTATAAATGGAATATTCGATTATTGTTTGCGAATGGAAAAAATAATTGACTTTCAAATACGAAAATGATTGAAAATCATTTTGCAACGTGTTTTAAAATTTGATCATGAATCAGACCATTATCTAGATGTCTTGAGGCAGTTGATTGATTAATATTATCTGGTTGATTCATGAATGTGCCTAAGATTCCAGAATATAACGCATAAATTTCGAAATTGAAATAAAAAAAATAAGCGATCGATATCTGATGTTTGAAATGATTTTGATATTTGTAATGATATGCGAAAAAGAAACTCAGAAATGTTGAGTAAAATAGAATAAACGCATGTGCAAGTGACCATAATACCTTTCGTCGGAATTCAAAGGAGGCATGCACTCTTGATTGGATCTCGTTAAAAACCAAGACATTATCTTAAAGCCAAAGAGTTTACTGGCGAGTTTATCACAAAATTGAAATGTGTGTAAACTATACTATCTTTTGATATGATGATTTGGAGCAAGAAAATTAATAATGATCTTTCTATATGTATATTTATATGACCTTTTTTACTTGAAATTTGTTATTCGTTATATCCTCAAATTTAAGTTTAAAATTTTAATTTTATCGGTTTGGATTTGTTCTTAGAAAATCCTTACATATTTTTTTTTTTAAAAAGGGTGACCAACACAAAGGCAGTGTTGTCATTGGTCCGACATGTCCTAGAAATTTAGCCGTGATATAAAATAAGGTATTTTCATAATTATTAATTCAAATTTAATGAGTTAGAATCGTCTTAATAAAACGAATCTATCTCTAGCATTTAATATTGACGGAAATACGGTTAGTTTAATGTTTTTATTTATTTTATTATTTGTAATCTTGAACAATTTCTTGGACGGCCATGTAACAAAAAAAAAAAATACATTATGAAATATCGAATCCTTTCTTGGAAAAATATTTTCTGATCATCAAAACCTTGTAATGCTTTTTCAGGGAAGAACCCATTTCGCAAATCACTAATGATTCAAGGACCTCTGTATAAGAACTGAGGTTGACACGAAAGATCTGAATGTGCCCGGACAAAACAATGGAAAAGTTCTAAAAGACCTCTTTTAATAAACAATTGCATCCTAAAATCAGAGTTGGAAAATTAATCATTTCTTCTATTATAAACTTCAAGATGATCACAATGTTATTAAATATCTAATTATCACATATTGTTGTAACTTGGAAGGACTTTATTTTGAAAATTGGTGGATTAGCTTTTAAGTTACTCGTTCAGGTTTGTAGTATTAATAGTTTTAGACAAGCATTAGAAGTTTTAAATTATTTTAAGGTACTTTCAAGGAGCAAAGCAAATATTTGTAGAATTAAAGCGAAAACGAGGTTACAAACTTCTAAATATTATGATGCGCAAAATTAATTATATCCGAGAAATTTCGAAAACTATGCTAAATTTAAATAATAAATAGATAGATTTCCATTTATTTAAATGCGAAAATTATATAAAAAGATCAATTGTTTATATGAAGTTCAAATCTGGCCCTGAAGATTAAATTAAATAAAAATAAATGTATTTGTAGAAAAGATGATTTTAATAGTGATCGGATGTGATGCGCTATACAAGACAAAATATTTTATTAGAACCTTTATTATAGTATCACTAATTTGATCAATTTTTTCGCATAAAATACTGAATTATTAAGTAAACTATATATATTTTGAAAAGTATCACATATACTATTTATAACATATCATACTAATCTTCTTCTGAAACTGGCCTAAGGAACATTTTCCTTTTAATTCAACCTTTAAATACTTCTGCTTCATGTATCTTTTTTTAGTTCAGATGAGATAAACAAATTCTTTGCTGTGAACACGTCGTGACACAAGACATGCATTTGGTATACAAAATGTCCATGCGATTTGTTAGAATCATTTTTCTTTTTTTTGTACATTTAATACGTTCGTCTAACAATTAATTCAAAAATAGTCTAAACTGTACTTTTTGAAACTCTGGAGAATTTTGTTATATTAAAAAGTAAATTGCTATAAAAGGGAATGCCGCGAAATTATTGAGGTATCATTGATATTATGAAGAATTATTACTTTCAAAGTATTTTAAATATAAATTACTTCTTCCTTTTTTACCAAAGAAAACAACTTACCGAGAATCTTACGTATCCTGTCAAATACTTTAAAAATTCGTTCAAAGAACTTGTCGATTAGTGTTGAAAGTCGATAAATGGAACGTAAAAGTCAAAGTATTTTAGCTAATTTTGGAATCCCCATCTCACCCGGTTCACGTCCAAGCCTTCCGCGAAGAGACACCTCAGGATCCATTGTTGGTCGTTCCAGTACGAGGTATTCGGTAACAGCACTATATTCCATAGCTGCCGAACACGATGTTGAAGTTGAAGATGACTTGGCGAAAGGTACTTTATATTACTTGACTTTAATTATACCAGTAGACGTGTTTCTTTTAGTGCAAAATTACTTTCACGTTTGAATTAGATATAATTATTCTTTTGCTAATTTCTTTTAAATTTAATTATTAGCGCAAAGACGTTTACGAGAATTAAAAAGTCGAATTTCAGCACAATCCAAAAAGAATTTCGTTTTGGAACGAGATGTTCGTTATTTGGATTCAAGAATTGCGTTATTAATTGCTAATAGGATGGCGTTAGATGAGGTAATTTTTAATATAATTAATTTATTAAGAATGATATTTACGATAAAATTAATTTTTTAAGATTCTATTATAGAAACAGGAAATGGAAAGCCATTTTGAAGAATCAGATCAACAAGTTTTTGCTTTTCCTGATAATCGTAAAATGAATCAATATGGAAATCTTTTTTTTCTCCTTCAAACAGAACCACGACATATTGCAAATTTATGTCGTTTTGTAAGTTTGACAGAGATTGATACTTTGCTGCAAACTGTAATGTTTACATTGTATGGGAATCAATACGAAAGCAGGGAAGAACATTTGCTATTAACAATGTTTCAGGTAAACTTTTAGATTCTTATGGTGAAATTAATAAGAATACATACGTGTGTGTGTGTATATGTAAATTTTTTTTTCTAATAAATTTCTTTCATATAGTCTGTTCTATCAACACAATTTGAAACCACAAGTGACTTTAATTCATTGCTTCGAGCAAATACGCCCGTATCGCGTATGATGAATACATATACTCGTAGAGGTCCTGGACAAGCTTATCTAAAAGCCGTGTTGTCAGATAAAATAAATACTCTAATAGAACATAAGGATTTGGATTTGGAAATTAATCCACTAAAGGTTTACGAACAAATGATCAAAAAATATGAAGAGGAAAATGGTTCACTGCCACCTGAACTTCCAAGCTCTGTAACACCTGATGTCGCTGCTGCTAATGCCGATGTTAAGGCTATCATAGAACCTCGTATAAATATGTTGATGGACATTGCAAATTCCTTCCTCACAATTATAATAAAATCAATTGAACAAGTGCCTTATGGTATTCGATGGATTTGTAAACAAATCAAATCATTAACGAAGGTAGGTTTTTTTTACAATTATAATTTGAATTATATTTCACGAAACATATTAATTTATTTTATGATACCATAGCGAAAGTATTCTGATGCAACCGAACTAATGATATGTACACTTATTGGTGGATTTTTCTTTTTGCGATTTGTCAATCCCGCCATTGTCACACCACATTCATACATGTTAGTGGATGGAATGCCGCGCGAACACCCAAGAAGAACACTGACTATAGTAATTAATAAAATTGCAATTAATAATTTTTTTTAATTAATCTTTTTAAGAAAATTTTATTAACAATTTTACTTCTTTGACATTTCTTTTCTTTTGATAGGTTGCCAAAATGTTGCAAAATTTAGCAAATAAACCTACCTATTTGAAAGAAGAATTTATGGTATTATTGAATCCTTTCATTGAAAGTAATAAAAAGAGAATAAATAAGTTTTTGATGGATTTATGTGAAGTCGGTGATTTTTATGAGAGATTAGAGGTATGTGTCGACAAATAATGGTTCTGTAAATATCTTTAAGATCCGAGTTATTTATTAAATATGTTGTAAATTTTTTAGATGGACCAGTACGTGGCCCTTTCAAAAAAAGACTTGGTGTTGCACATAACGTTAAATGAAATATACAACACACATGCATTGTTGTCACAACATTTAGACAAATTGGTATGTAATCCTTTTCATAAGTAATATATTATTGTATCTTAGAATTTTAATTTAATTGACATTTTTGAATTTTGTTTTCTACAAGGCTCCATCAGATAAAAATCATTTACGGATAATTTTGGAGGAAATTGGGCCATCTCCTGCTCAGGTTCCTAGAATCGAAAACAAAACTGTTGAGCTTCCATTATTTAGTCGTTGGGAAACTCCTATACAAGGTTTGTAACAGTCCCAGTCCTTTGATTATTGATGTTGTATTGACGATATTAATGAAATCATCATCAATCTAAAGATATCGCATCAGCACTTATGTCTGATAATAGCGTGACACAAAATGACATTTTATATATGGAGACGAAGTCGATTTTTGTTCAACTTATTCGATCTTTGCCGCGAATGGCTGAAAAGCGAAGTATTAATTTGGCGAAGATAGCCGAAACGGCAGCAACTGCAAAGGATGCCGCTCTAGTTCGTAAAGGAATTAAAGTTAAAGAAATGATTCGCGAACTTCAGGAAGCAAATGTGATCGACCGGAGTGATGGGTATAAGCTTATGACAGAAGAAGTTGCATTAGAAATAGTGCATCTTGGCAATCTTCGAGAAAAGGTCAACGAAGAAATAAGATCTCTTGACCTGGTTTTTAAGACAATCTGTGATCATAACAATTATCTAAGAAGTCAATTAGATAGTTATAAAGCATACTTGCTAAATGTCAGACAACAGACCTCAAAGGATGCCATAGGAGGGCCTGGTGCGAGCGTAGTAAAATTGGGTGGTAAGGAAAAGACCCAAAAGATAAAAGTTTTGGGACCTTACAAATTTACACATGCCCATTTCGAAAGAGACGGGGTTATTGTTGATACAAATGTACCTGATAATAGGTTTGTTTCTTATTAATTTTTTTTTTGGTGAATTATTATTATATAAACATTTCATTAATAATACTTTTTTTAAAAAAATATTGTTTCCTAATTAGACGGCACAACATTTTTTTCAATATAACATCACCTGTTCCTGGAACATTTATCATTGCGTTGCATTACAAAGGTCGGGAGGCTCCAATCCTAGAGATGGATCTTAAATTAGACGATTTACTAGAAAAGGTTTTTTTTTTTTCCTTCTGAAATTCTCATACGTGTTATGTTTTCGACAAAATATCAAATTCCTAATTTTTTTTATTTTTACATTATCTTCTTTTAGCAACAAGATAATATAGTATCACTTGATCTTGAGTATGTCCAACTTAATGTATCAAGGTTGTTACAATTGTTGAACAAGACATTTTCTAAACGAAAGGTGTAAATTTTTTAGTTAAATATTTACGTTTGACATTTCTCTGTATTTTATTTTTTTATTACAACTTTGATAATTTTTTTTCACTAAAAACAAGTTTTGATTTCTCATTACTTCATCATTTTTCCTAAACATTGTTTATATTATTCTAATGTCATCATCACCAATTATTTCATCCAAAACATTTTATATTTTTTTTCATTTATATTTAATAGGTTTTTTTTTTGTTTTGATAATTTATATATAGTTTTTCTATCAAAAATATCTCGTTACATATAAAATATATATATATATATATATATATATTATTATTATTATTACTCTCGAGTTGTTCTGGTAAATTGGAGAAATTTGTTAAAAAGTATTGGAATGATAATTATATTTGGATAGTTTTAACCTTTAAATATATATTTCTATAACATAAATAATTCTCATTTGATAATAGAATTATTTAGTGTAAAAAATTTTCTATTTTCTATTTTTCTATATAATTTTTTGTTTATAATAATAAAAAGAAAAACTGTAAAATTTGGAAATTCTGATTAAATTACAGTTGAAAATTAAGAAATTACACATTATTTTGATTGGCATTATGGTTTAAGAATTACCAACTCAACTAAATTTTACCCCAACCCTATTGTTTTGTTTTGGAAGTAATTTGTGAAACAAAATATACAGTTTTTGTGAACTTGGTCCTTACTATAAATGGCTAACTTGTAGAAATGCTTGAGAAAAAAAAATTTTTTTCTTTAAAAGTAGTTTTAGATATACTTGAATAATATCATAATGAGACAATGTAATTTTACATTTTGACTTTGACTTATTGTTTTTTTTTTTTATTTCTTTGATTATAAAGTTACACTTCTCAAGTGAACTTAATCTATTTGTTTAAGTCGGCATGTTCCTTCAAGTATTCATTTGCTTGCATGTATGATAAAATGTAATTAGAGTAAGATGGATGAAGAAACACCAAATTTATTCGTTGATTACTTCCTAAAGATATTCCATTTCGACATTCGGCTTCTAATACTAAAAATAATTGGTTTCTAATGGAATGTGCAAGGTAGATCTTTTTATTTAAACGTTTTTGGTAATGATATCTCTCGTTGGCGAAACCAATTTTTCAATACGTTTTATAGAGCACACTCATTGTAGGAATCTATCGTTTAAAACAAAAAATTCATGAGCTTTTTTTAAATTATTTTTTTATCATGGAATCAATATTTTCTTGACATGGTTTTTTTTTTTTTTAAAAGAAAAAAATAAACAGAAAATATGCAAATTTTATTTTTATGCTTTGATTGGTCAGGAATCAATAAACAAAACAGAAATTTTATTTCTACTTTTCAACTTTTCTAGTAATAACTTTTTCTGTAAAAATAGAGGAGTATCATGTGAATGGGGCTGTTACATGTTTTATGATCTAGTTTGTTTACAGTAAACCATATCCTTTTTTATTAAATGTTTCCGTGAACTTTTTGCACAAAGCATTTAATTAATGATTTATATTACAGATAAGAAATGATTCTTTTTTTTTTTTAACGTTAATAGATTTATAAAGATATATAATAAATTATGAACATAACTGTTGACTATACAAAAGAAAAAAAAAACATAGTTGAAACGAGATATAATATTTTGGATTTTTCGGAAACTATATAATTTTTTTTTCAAAGATATTTTTTTTTAAAAAAAAAAAAAATAAAAAAAAAAATAAAAAAAAATAAAAGAATAAAAAAATAAATAAAATAAATACACATTACAATATTGATATCATATTCCACCCCACCTTCCTCCGGATAATCCAGAAGTTGGTTTGCTAATTCTTTTCGACCTGGTGACATAAGGTTGATTTAAAGGTTCCACCTTTTTACGTCTTGGTCTTGGTTTCAATTCATCTGTTTTGTTGCTACTATCATTACTATCATCAACTGGTAACATTTTCATTTTAGAAATTGTTTTCCTATTCTTTGGTATTTTAAAGTTAGATCCTATTGCATGATTTGGTACATGTTGAGAATCCTTAACATTAAGATTTGAACAATTTCTCAAATCTTTGATAAAATAATTTGAAAAATTCCGCGATTTAATATTTTTAATATTATTTAACGAAGGGTCTTTAAATTCTGTGTTATTCCTATTCCGTTGATCATAAATTTTTGGTACAGGTTCATCTCGACCCGATCCTTTGAATGGAATTTCAGCGTAATGCAAGGAGATTTCAGGGTAAGAAAACTCGGATGAAGTGGGTGACGATAACGTGGAATCATCCTCATCCGAGGTTGAATATATGGAACCCTCGTCCTTTTCGGATATGGTCACCGCATCGGCGAGTAAGAATAAAGGATTCTGAGAATGATTTAAAGTAAAAACCGCAAAATCATAAAGGATATTCGTCTCCGTCATTTTTTGGAAAATTAAAAAAAAAAAAAAAAGGTTGGTAAAGGTAAGGTTGATTAAAGCAAAAAAGGGATAGAGTTTTTATAATATATAAATTACAGTTACACACACATAATTTGAGCACCCTAATTTTTTTTTAATATATCAACAAAAAAAAAAAAGGACGATTTTTTTTTTGGACGAAAAGGGTTAAAAAACGGAGAAATTTTTATAATTTCGTCTATGCAGTAGCAAAATACGAGCGAGTTTTTTTTTTTTTTCATTTCAATAATAACCCCCCTTCCCCTTTTTAGAATTTTTATTTTATCAAAAAAAATCCTCTGGGTTTTATTCTTTTCTTCTAGAGAATTTTAATTTTGATGTTGAATTTTTTGGGGGAGGGGGGTTTTTTTTTTTGAATCAAAAAAGCATCGAAAAATCTGTTTATTTATTATCCTGTTAGCGTTAGTATGTTGCGAAAATAAATCATCGTTGATAAATTCCAGCTTAATAAATGTGGTTTCAAACGGTTCTACGCAATCATCACTTCCCTAAATATACCGTTCACATGTCTTCATTTTTTTTTTTTTAATAAAATGACATTATTTTGACTATTTTGATACTGATTCGAAATTGATATCAAATGTCAAACCCTTCGATACTCGGAAATAAATAAAACACGTTTGGGAAATTATTCGGGACCTCCCATCTGGAAATTTCTGAAACATAATGACTTTACTCCGAAACTAATGGCAAGATTCCGAAATTTAATGGCATGACTCCGAAACCAAATTTCGCCTTCAATCTGATACTAATGGTTTTGAAAGACATTCGATATCGTTTTTGAATAAAATATCTTTTAGTCATTTACATCAATTTAAACCCTTTTTTTTTTTCTTTTTTTTTTGACAACTTGCTAAATTGTTGGTTTTTTGACACCTTTGAACTTTGAAATGTTGTCTGATTTATCAACAAATAGACGGCTTAGGTTAACCAACCTAAAGGAAAGAATTTTACTTGTAAAGGGACAAAGGTATCGAAGAACGTTAACGTAAAGGTCATATTTGCCGTATTACATGATGATAAAGCTTTGGTAAAGATTCTTTTGTGGTTCTATCCTTGAAAGGTTTCGCCACAGAAAGTTTATATCACATTTGAAAAAAAATTGCGCGGCTGTGGCAACATTTTGAAATTGAAAACAAAATTTGCTGACTGCGAGAAACTTCCCTCGAGTGGTCGTCTCAACCATGCACATGGTTATATCAAAGAAAAAAAATTTCTAAAATTTTTTTATAGTAAAAATGATCAAACAAAAAAAAAAAAAGATTTTTTTTTTTTACCTACCATCTTCATGGAACTACGGAACAAATAAGGTCTTGTCTAAAATACTGATGTTAGGAATCAAGAGGAAAGTTATGCGCTCAACCCATGGGTATTGCGGCAAGTTATGCTCAAATAAATGAGGGTTAAGCAAAAGAAAGTCGGTTTTTTTACCATAGTAAATAGAGAATGGAAGGTATCTTCTAGAAAAATGTTGAAAATTTCCTTCTTGTACGAGTGGAATGGTTGGCCAAACTTTATGCAATGCAAGGATTATGTGCATAAAATTCCAATTACATGATTTTATGGCTGACATTAACTTAAAATACTAGTTGAACTCTTGAAAATTATGCACGATTTGCATTACGTTCGGAAGTTACACACAATCAGGACTGGATAAAGATTAACCGGACCCGAACTTTTAAGTCAAATAATCTTGCAAATCCCCAACAAATAAAAACATTAAATTCCTGTATAACTCATTTAAAGTTTATCTGGGAAATTTTAATACAAACATAGGTACAAACAAGAAATAATTTATTTTCACTATGAAGATACGGTTAAGCTACTTCCAATAAAAGTTAACGCGTTGAGGGGAACGCTTCTTTCATAACCCACTATTGATTCTTTGTAGAAAAGTTTTTATTTGTAGTGTCGATTATGTAATATTTCCCCAATATTCGAAACGAAAATCAAAAAAACATCTCATTATTTGTAATTTGTTAGATCTCATTCGTTCGTGACATCCTTACTCAGGTCTAATTCCCAGAATTTTTAATTTCCACATTTTGCGTAACGCCGGCCTTCCTAAAAAGATTTCCTTATCAACGCGCAACCTTCCTTCATACATCTTTGAAGGTTATTATATTAATGTTGACACTTTTAAATCCTTGATTGGTATCAATTAAATTAATACTTATTATTTCATCAACAATATAATAGGAACTGTTGGTCACAATAATGATAATGCAGGAAGAGTTTGTCATACCGAGATAAATTTAACTTCCTTTAAACGGTCGACAAGAATTGTTCAAAGATTCCCTCTACTGCATGAGATATTTATTTACAATACTGATTTCTAGAAATGTCGATAGGATATAAAAAAAAAAATAATCACTAAAGTAAAAATGATGGTTTAGCCTGCATATAATTATGCTTATTGTTTCATTTACGTGATTGATTTGTAAAACAAATGACTATATTATAAGTCAATAATTTCTGATAGCAAAATAAATAATTTGTTTGTTTGTTTTGTTTTTGTTTTTGTTTTATTGTTTAAGTTTTTTTTTTTATTATTATTTATTTTCATTATTTTCTTACCGAATTATCCTCAAAATCACATTGTTGCCACATAAATCATTGTTGGAAACATAAATGTTACAATAGAGAAAAAATCTCAATTGTTTATTTTTTGAACTTTTTTTTTTTTTTTTTGTTCGTGGGCCGGTTTCAAAAAAAAAACGTCTTTTTATCTGATTGACCATTGTGTTATTAACGACAAAAAAAAAAAATAAAAAAATAAAAAAAAATATCTCCCGTGTAATTTTGACGATCTTGGTCAATTCCACCGAGAATTTTCGGGGTACGAAATCGTCACCGTAAATCTTTTATCAGGTGATCGAAAGCAGATCAAACCTTTTATACCTTTTTTATCGAAACTTTTTAAAAAATTTCTCTGATTCAAATAGTCCTTTTTCAAACACCCGTCAAAAATCAAAAGCTTCATGTTAATTTGAAAGAATGCCTCTCAAATCTTGTGATGACTCAGATTTTTTTTGAAAATTATTTATTCACGATCGTGGATATTGATTTGAAGTTATAATAAGGTGCGAGATCTCTTACCTTGGATAAATTCACTTTATAAAGGTTCGTTTTTCATTTTTTTTTTTTTTTTGACCTTTTTGTCGAGCAAAGTGAGTCAGTCAACTTCTCCAATATCACCGAAAAATATTAACCGCACGTGACTTCACGCCATTTATACTTACTGTACGTACCGTATTTCTGGGAACGTGAAAACACGTTTCACGCCCCCATTATTCGTCACCGGACACGAATATTTTCTTTGTAAAACTGCGGAAATCACGTGACGATCGGTTGATCCAATTCCTTCAATTTCTTTGAATGGAGAGCAATTTAACCATCTGGAACGCCAAGCTCGTTAAATATCTTCGGTTATTAGGGACGAAGATGATTGGTTGATCCAAATCAAGCCAAACTGACTTTTATAGTAAGGACACCCGAATAGCCGGAACTCGAGGACAATTTGCTAAATCCTCGCATTCTAAAAAAAAAAAGTACAAAAATAGGGGTCAATTACGTAACGACAATACTAACCTTTGATATTGTGATTACGAAATGTAAACTTTATCATAAACATGACGTTTTTTTTTTGATCGAGTTCGGATAATATCGGAACTTGATTAACCATCGTATATACATATGCACTTTTCGTAGGTTTAATGCAAATTCAATGGCAATAGACAATACTTTGATTCTTTTTTTTTCTCATTTTGTGAAAATCAGGTTCCAGGATTTATCATCCTCTAAGATTTTTGGGATAAAAGACAAATAATAATTAAACCTTGATCACGGTGAGTCAAATGGAATCGACCATTTGTTTTTGTTTCCCTCTAGTCAAGCACCGCCTGGTTCTTGTCATATCAATTAATATCATACCTGACAAATAAGGAGAATAGAAATCGAGGAAACGCCAGATTATTTGCCATTTATATCCAATTGACCAATCATATCGCAGATTCTTGCACGCATTCCGGAATAATTCTCTATTGGACAAATCACGTGACTATCCATTCATTCACTTGTTTTAACCGTTCGTTGCAAGTTAATACCACCCCGGGATATTGAATTCTGTGCGCTAACGTACGACCTTTGACATTTATTATTGATAGATTTGCCTAATTTAAAACCATGACGAATTTAAGAAATCTTTTGGCTTATCGGAAAAACATTTTCCCTCGTTTTGGTGGTTAGTAATAGTTTCGGGTGGTGCCATTGTTCCTTGTCGATATACAGGTATTCAATAGAATAACGTATGATGGTGATCGCTTAATTGTTTATTCACCTCTACATAAATCTCGTTATGATCACGATAAATCATTATCCATATTTGCGCTTTTAAAAAGCTTTTACATCGTAACCCTAAAGAGTATAGTACGTTCCGCATCACATTTCGACCAGAGGTCGGCATTTTGACCGCTAATAAGTCATTCGCAGAAAAAAATTAAAAGATTCGCTCGCATATTTTTTAATTATATTGTAAAAAATAATAAATAATTTTATTTTTAATAAAAATCATTAATATATTCTTCGAGATCCTAATTAATAAAATTAGGTAAAATAAAATTGCATGTACAATTCTCTCAATAAATCTAAATAAATTAAAAAGCTATGTTATAATCTCTTGCATTTTTATATGTATATATTAAAATAAAAAATCAACTGTATCAATTTTTAAAAACTTATAAAAAGTGAATTAAACATTATCATATACCTTCATGAACGGACATACGAAAACTTCCTAACGTTACAAATAAGTTAACAAGGATAATCAGAACAAGAAGGACGACACTACTGATTAAACGTTTAATAAATAGGACAATAATGCAGATATTTTCGCCTTTTCACGTAGAAACGTCCAAAAACACGTATCCGAATCTAACATAGAGTACATAGAGTTATGCCCCTTTGATGTTCTTTTTTTTTTCCTTGTAAATTCGACTTTGACCCTGCATCTTTCAAATTCAAGTATTTTCGTATGAAAATTTCGCGCCGATCAATCGTGATTTAAATCTAGTTATTCGTTTTTAGGTAAATAGGTAAATAGGCAAATAGGTAAATCAATCTAGGTATAATGAATCTATAGATTTTTATAATAAGATTACCTGAGTTAAATCATTCCCAATTCATAAAGAAAAGAAAAGGAACTTGGCTAAAAGTAACCTCAAAGTTGATCTTAAAAGACAATAGAAGTCATCTTTCTATTGAGAATAGAAATAAAAATTATACAGGAATTTTTTGTAAGCAATATTATTAATTAAAATTATTACGAAGGATCAAACAATCAAAAAAATCTTTGAAAGGATAAACAAACCTTTTTAGGAATGAAACCTTGTGATTCATTTAATGGTACCGTAACGAACGAAAAGATAATTTATAACGGTTAATCCTGATTATTGTCTAATTTATAATTAGAATAAAAATGTCTTAATGTCCCACTATTATGGTGATACCATTTTTTATTGCTAAATTCGATAACAATTACCATATAAAAAATTGTATTTTAAACGTAAAATCTGATGTGCATTAAATAACATAAGTTACAAAATGGTTAAATCTGTCACAATCAAAACCGAACAAATTGTCCAAAAAAAGAAAAGATCCTTAATAGAGATTTACGTGTTAATTCTTGATATAGAAGGTACACGGACTTCATAGAGTGATTGACTTGGGAAAGTGCAGTTAAAAAAATATAATATGGTTAGCGGGTAACTTCTTTCAGGAAATGATCACAAGGTTCACGAATGAATACGTAAGTTGGAAGAACTTCTGGTAAATAATACCTTTTTTTTTGGTACTTTTTTTACCCATTCTTTTACTTTTTTATTTTTATTTTATTTATTAGGCTCAAGTGAAAAGTAGAGATAAATGAATTATTTTTCCCCCTTGTATTTATTTGTATTGTAACACCCTAACGTAAGGTGAACTTAAATTTCGCAACATCAAAATAAATTACATAAAGATCAAGATGTAACCATCATAGGATAGATGACTAATTGGTCATTTTCCGTCAAAAGAGAGAATAAGGTGTTCATTCATATTATCTAAAATTTACAACGGGATTCCCGCAATATCAGGGCATGATTAATCGGATGATAGGCTTACTGAGATGCCATATATGGATTCAAAGGTGATTATGGCAATCGGTGATATTCGATTCGATCCCATCATTTTTGGACCGGGTATTCTAATGACATGACCCAAGTGATCTGGACCAAAATTTCCATATTTCGGGAGTTGATGATCATTTTTCAACCAACCGAAATCGGTTTAGGCGATCGACATAAATATTTGAAATGAGGGTGATTATTTAAAAAGACCATTTTTTGTTTCATGTTTTGTTTCCGATCATCCTTCGAAGAAACGATTTCAAATTCACGTCTGCCAACCTAGTAATAATTGAGAAATGTTCAAAAATAAACAGTAGAACATCTTACCAGTCATAAATGATTTGACTCCTTTTTCAAATGAATGGACGCTCATTGTTTGTTTCACAAAAAAAAAACAACATTCATTCGACCTTTCATTTATTATTATTATATTAATTATTATATTAATTATTATATTTATTATTAAAAAACTTTTTTATTTCCCATTTATTTTTTAAAAAAGATAGAATCATCACATTTATACTACAAAATAACATAAAAAAATTTTTTTTTCTTTGATCAATTGTTAAGAAATCAATCAAATCGATTAAGATTTATATTAATTATAAAATGAAATGCAATTGTCCAAATGTCAAAAATTGCACAACAATACAACAATCTTTTTATTCATGAGAAAAAAAGAAGTGAGTAAAAATAATTTATTTATACATATTTTCAGGGCACCTTTTTGTCTTGTTATTTTTGTTTAGTAATAGGGAGCTCAAAATTCTTAGCCGTTATAAATATATTTATTTATATCGGTTATTGTACACATTAATAGTAATAGTATTATTATTATTATGCTTATAAAATAATCTTTTATTAAGGTTAAAATTGGGTTATTATTAGCCCGAATAAAAAAGTAGTATAAAAGCAGCATCAGTTTGACGAAATCCGTGTCATTCCCCAACACTTGCCTTCTTTTTTTTCCCCTCACATTGAATATTCCTCGTTATTCACGCTTTAATTACATTGTTCCTTTTTATTTGACATTTCGATAATGCATAACGTTAAGGCGCACCCCTACAACAATCCAAGTTATCCATATGATACATACTTTCCCAACATCCCTAATGCACAACATCAACGTATTCCCAACTCTTACCAGGAAATTGATTTAATGGTTGAGAGTTTTGTAAGGAACAATTACGCACCTACGATTTTACCCATCAAAACTCTAATAAGCCCCAAAGCAAAGCCAAGAAGGAGCAATATTCCAAGGCCGCTAAACTCTTTTTTAATTTACCGTCGCGATTACCAGGCAAGACTGTCTAAAGAAGCTGGACGTATATTACCGAAAGTTTCTCAAGAAGCGGGCGCTCTTTGGAAAAGTGAAAAGGATGAAGTTAGAAACTTATATGAAAAAATCGCGGACCTGGCTGGTGAAGTCCATAAATTGCTTTTTCCTAATTACGAATACAGGCCTAACAAAAGCAAAAGAAAGAGGTCTGCAAAACCAGAAATGACAGACAAAGATATAGGTGCGACCCCTATAAATTTACCCCTTCCGAACCTACAAGTCTCACAAGTCCCTTTGGTGATTTCATCATTTGACGAAATCGACAGAAATATGTGTCGAGTTTTTAAAGGACCAAGTTGAATTTTTTTTTTTTGATTAGTTGAGATCAGTCGGTTCTCGATTTTCTTTATTTTTTTTTTTCATTTGTAATTTTTTGGCGCAGATAACGGGTTAAACAATTTTCTCCTATTTCGCAAAAACAAATAATAATAATAATAATAATCTGATGAAGTCCTATTATCTTATCAATTTTGACGCAAAATTTTACTTTATTTTTCCTTTAAGCATTTATGATGGTTTCTTTTTCCTTTCCGATGTTTTAACATTATTTTTTCTTAAAGCGTTTATTATTTATGATGGATTTTTTTTCCATGCTAATATTTTTTTGTAGCGTTTTTCTTTTCGTGTTTATCATTTATGATGGTTTTTAATATTTTAATCATTTTTTATCTTTGTTTTTCTTTTTAAGTGTTATACGTTTTTTTCCTTTCTAATGTATCTCTACCGTTTTTTTTCTTTTATTGTTGTTAAGAATTTATTGTATGTTTCGTTCAAAAATAAGAAATAAATTATTTTCTCATGATAACGTAATACAAAGACGCAAGCAAGATTCATGTACCGCAGCAAAATTTGTGTTTGTTTGTTTGGATGCCACCGGTGATTGCGATTTCGACCACAGGCGTGCGTATCAGATGCCCAAGCGATCACGAAGTTGAAAGCGCCTTTTGATTTTACTTGCTTGATTCGATTGGTGTAATTACTACACTTTTTTTTTTATTTCCGACAAGGTTTTGAACGTTAAAATGGGGGATGGTGTCAATCATCATGCCAAAGGAAAATAGCTTTTTTCTTGAAACATGTGTCGACTATAAATAAACCTGAACGTTATTCGTTGGAAATCAAAATTTACTGGATCGTTACATAAAAACCTTCATTTATTTATTTATTTATATTTGATAATTACAGCAAAAAAAAAAAAATAAATTAAATTAAAGAAGACGAACTCTAAAAATCATATATCATATCCCAACCATGCTCGTCACCGTAGAGTTTTTTTTTTTTTTTTCCAATGCATCAAAATAATTATGAAACGATAAATTTTTCCAAAATCGACTAAAATTCTTGAAACCTCTGTGAAAAAAAAAAAAAAAGGAGATATTGTGTACGACAATCAAAAGCGAATGAGGAACCATGATCAGATTTTCCGTGGAAATTTTCCGATTCAAATGAGACGAAAATAATTCTTGTGGTGATTGATTTATCAAGTTCAAATATATACATATATATATTTTTTTCTTTTGATTTGAAATTTGAATCCATTAATGGTTTTGCTTCCTTTAAATCACCTTCGGGAATACCTTTTTCGCTTTTAATATCCTACATTTTTGAAATTGGCACATATGCCGTGACACGCGCGCACAATATAAACAGTTCTGTCGGTTTGTGGTGATAAAATCGAATGACCCAATCTGATACACGACATTTTTTTGTTGATCGGTGCTCATCACTTAGCCAAGGAAATTTTTAAATTTAATTAATTGGAATCTTCATTCACCGAAAACCGCCGTCATTTGTTGTGAATTAAAAAATCATCTTACTGACTTTCTTTTCTCATTTAGGATAAACCTAATTTACAAGGTCACAAATCAATAAATAACCTTGCTTGAAACAAAATTGATTTTTTAATCAAATATAATCGTCCCTTTTATTGTTTTTCACCCCAAATTTTTCGAATACCAAATTCGAATAAATCACTGTGAGGACAATTCCTCAACTCAACCCTTTGTTCCTTTTATTTTATTTATTCTTTTAAAACAAATTCCTCCCATACACAAGAACTTCTCAAAAGAGAACAAATTCTCATTTATAAAAATGTATGTTGAGTAAGTATTTTGCAATTTGGCGAATAATAGGTCAAAGGTAATGAAGGTAATGCAACTTTAGATTAACGAAATCTTACTTTTTGACCACATGCCACATACCTAGACTTAAAATAGATTAAAGGATTAAGTCCATTTAGAAATAAAATCTTAAAAAAAAATTGTGATGTGTGGATAAATGATTTGCATGGTTGGGATGCATGAGATGCATCATGCTGAACCAAAAGTTGTAATGAAAGTTAAATTTCACACATAAAGATGTTCATTTTTTTTTTAATTGAATGAACCACAACTGCGTCATACTTTATCGAATTTTTACTACCAATTAATTCTACCTTTAGATATACAATATACATGTATATATACATAAATTATGCCTTATTATTTTTTTTTTTTTAATATCGTTCTCTTCTTATTCAAAAAAACCTCACACTCTTTTAAATTATACTTGAAGTGTCTGTTCATCTTCATTACCTTTGTTATTTTCGTTATATTTCCTTCCTTTTTATTATTTACCTCCATAATTTTGCCTTCATATATCTTACCGACAAATCCCATTAATTCTTTTTCTATATAACGAAATAACTCTCCATACACAATATCGCAAAAATGTCTAAACGAATACTCTTCTTGATGTCAATAACATTATTAACATTAAATACTGTAAATGCATTTCGTGGACAAGGAATGCTCTTCCTTGAATCGGATTTGAAGCCCTGCGGAGAAAGTAATGGGAATAAAGATATGTTTTGTGTTGCATTAGTGAGTCTTTGATTATTTTTTTTCCATTAATTCTTCTCGTAAAAAAAAAACTAACATTCCCGTTCGACTTTTATAGAACAGTGCTCAATTTAATGGATGTGGCAAACATATAAACATAAAAGGGCCAAAAGGAAATGCCATAGTATCAGTAAAATATGAGTGTCCGACATGTACTTTTGGTGATTTGGGCTTGACGCCCGAAGTTTTGAATAAAATTTCTAATCCTGATGATAATGAAGTACCCATTACTTGGTCATTCGTAGGTGAAAGTGATGTGTCTAAAAATGGGCATATAGTGACACCAAGTGTACCAAAAATTGTACCTAGAGCAGAAGTAACAGAGGCTCCAAAAGAAGAACCTAAAGAAACGGAAGAAAAAGAAGCTCCAAAGGATGCACCTAAAGAAACGGAAGAAAAAGAAGCTCCAAAGGATGCACCTAAAGAAACGGAAGAAAAAGAAGCTCCAAAGGATG